AGACCCTTTTCTGAAGAAGGGTCTAGGCCCGAAACGTCAGCCTTCCTGCTCCTCTGATGCTGCTTGGCCTGCTGTGTTCATCCAGCTCTACATCTTGTTATCTCACTTGTAACTAATCTATTGGAATTCTTTGAAAATTAACATGTGCTGTGGATAAAGAAGAATCAATGGCTGTACTGTCCTTAGATTTCCAAAAGGTATTTGATAAGATGTCACATTAAAAATTAATGTGGAAAATCAAACCTCTTGGTGTAGTGGGTAAGATATTGGCATGATCGGAAAATTAGTGAGCTAACAGAGAGCAGGCATAAATAGGTCGGTTTTCTTTGGTTGGATAGATTGTAATGAGTAGTGTGCAAAGGGATCATTGCTGGAGACTCTCAATGTTTTACAATTTATACAAATGACTTGGATGAAAGAACCGAAGGTGTGTTTGCTAATGACTCAAAGATATGTAAAAGAAAGGCAAATTGTGGAGAAGACGTAAGGAGATGACAAAAGGGTTATCGAAAGGTTGAGTGCATGGGCAAAGATCTGGGAAACGGAGTAAAATGTGGGAAAAAGTGAAATTTTCAATTTTGGCAGGAAGATCAAAAAGGCCAACATGTTATTGAAATAGTGTGACAGTACAGGGCTCAGAGGCAGAGGGCTCTCAAACCTGAATTCCAAAAGGTTAATATACAGGTTCAGTAGGTAATTAGGATACCTGATAGTTACAGTTTATTGTGAGGGAAATTAAATACAAGAGTAAGTAGGTGATGTTTCACTTATATAGTGACACCACATGTGGAGAAGTGCGTACAGTAGTTTTTATTTATTAAGAACATAGAACATAGAACAATACAGCACAGTACAGGCCCTTCACCGCACGATGTTGTGCCGACCTATTATCCTATTATGCAAGAATTTAAATGCTTGGGAAGCAGATCAGGGAATATTTACTACGTTAATGCACTGGGGAGAACTCCCAAGCTCTTCTCCAAAGAAGTGTGATAGTTTATAGGAATATAAGAACAGCAGTAGGCTGTTCAGCCCCTCGAGGTTGTTCTCACATCCCTCTGAGAGGTCAGATGGGGCTTCAGGTCAAAACCTCTCCAAAAATACAGCACCTCTGACAGTGCTGCACTCCCTCAGATATGTGCTGGAGGGTTTGCTCAGATCTAACTAGAACCTTCTGAATGTGAGGAGACAATGTTACTAGTATGTCAAAGACCTCAGATATTTTATGCTGCAGAGCTGTAGCAGCTACTGAAAGCCCCATTCGCGTCCACCTTGCTTAATCGGGATCCCCAACCTTTCAAATTGACTTTCTACCCTTTCCCTTGGTGTAGCCACAACAGTACTGCCTCTCGTGTTCTTTTCCTTCACCGCAACCCCCAACAGTTGTTCATTGCTTCACCGTGCAACCAATCCTGGGAGAACAGCCACAGTTTCACAACAAGAATGTCCCGGAGCAGATTGTGGGGTAAGTTCTCCACACATTATTCTCAACGGGAATAGCAGGTGGGGTTGGTTAATACTGCGGCACACTCAGGATGCCTGGATCACTGGGGGAAAGACACTTCCTGCTGTGTCTGTGCTCCCACTTTCCCATGGGGTCACGGGAGAAGTCAGGAAAAGGATGGAAAGCTGGAGCCTAAAAGTGGAAAGTTGAGTCAGGTCATTGTACCTTTGTCTAAAATTAAGGATGAATTAGGCTCCCGTAGGCTCATTGGTCATAGAGTCAATGGAAACAGGCCCTTCAACCCAGCTTGTCCATGCTGCCCAGTTTTCACAATTAAACTAGTCCTGTTTGCCTGCGTTAATTCCATATCCCTCCAAAGCTATCCCATCCATGTACCAGTTTAAATGTTTCTTAAATGACAAAGTTGTATTCGCTTCCACCACTTCCTCTGGCAGTCCATTCCAGACACTCATCACCCTCTGTGTGAAAATGTTGCACCTCTGGACCCTTTTGTATCTCTCTCCTTTCACCTTAAACCTATGTCCTCTAGTTTTAGACTCTGCTACCATGGGGAAAACTGTTGGCTATCTACCTTATCTACGCCTCTCATGATTTTATAAACTTCTATAAGGTGACCTCTCAGTCTCCTATGCTCCAGGGAAAAAAGTCTCAGTCTATCCAACCTTTATAACTCAAACCTTCCACTCCAGGTAGTATCCTAGTGAATCTTTTCTGCATTCTTTCTAGTTTAATGACTGAAACTGTAAATATTAAATGTGGTTTCTGCACTCCAACACACAATTTTTTTAAGGGGGAAGAATCAAAAACAACCGTAAACAGATGGCAGACCGAGTGTGTTAAAACTGAGGAAGCACAATTCAGCTGAGAGTCAGAATGTTCAGAGGCATCTCTTGCTTTTGTCTCACAAGTCCTTTTTTTTGTCCCTTTCACCCCTCAGCTTCTTCAAAGCTAATAACGTTTCAAAATTCAGCTACTCTAGACCAATCAGGAGAGGGCCGAAGGACCCAGAGAATGAATTTGCTGTAAGTACCTCTTTATCCAGTACCTCTGAATCATAATTTGGCGTAGCCCATGAGAGCCACTGATTATTTGCATTGTATCTAATTTGGGAGAACCATGTTTACATGTTTCTATGTATCATCCATCCATCTTCGTCAATTAACGATAAAGTTGACATTTATACAGCTTGTTTTTCTAAAAGGCAGTGTGGTCTTTTCACTGCCATAACATGCAACAATCCATCTGAGGACAGCAAGATCCCACAAATGACTTTGCTTGAGGGATAAATGTGGGTGCTGGGCACAGAGGAGAATTCCTTCACTCATCTACAGAATGGCCGATGTTTTGAAATGGGTTTGCGAGAGTAGGCGGGTCTCGAATTCAATTCCTTCAGTACTTCAGGGAAGCAACTGCCTGAATTCTGAGCTTAAATCTCTGGAGTGGGGCGTGAATGTTGTATTCAGATGACCAATCTAGCCCAACTTCTTAACCTGTAGGCAGTTAATAAGTAAGCCCCTGATGTCTTAGCTGTCTGGTGCCTAATGCTTCATCAGAAGAAAGGGGATCAGAGTTCCTGCTTTGAGCTAAGTTTTTACAGCTGTTATTTCATTACCAATTGGTGGAGTTCAAATTGATTACCACATTTCATCCATTTCGACAGTGTATTTTATTTGCTCTTACGATGCTAGCATAATTTCCATTTATTGCCCATACCCAATTCCCTTTGAGAAGGTTGTATCGAACAGCCAATTTTTTCAAATTCATGAGATGTGGGCACTTCTGGCCGGGTCAGTATCAATAGCCTGTGCCTCATTGTTCTTGGCAAGATAGTTGTGAGCTGCCTTCCTAAACCACTGCCGTCCATGTGCTGTGTGTTGACCCACAATGCCATTCGGGATGGAGATCCAGGATTTTGACCCAGTGACCGTGAAGGAATGGCGATATATTTCCAAGTCAGAGTGGCTTGGAGGAGAACTTACAGGTGGTGTTCCCATGTATCTGCTGCTCTTCTCCTTCTAGATGGAGGTGCTCATGGGTTTGGAATGTGCTATGTACAGATTTTTTGTGAATTTCTGCAGTGCATCTTATAGATAGACATTGTTGTACAGTACACATTGTTGCTACAGAGTGTCGGTGGTGGAGTGAGTGGATGCTTGTGGATTTAGTGCCAATCAAGCGGGCTGCTTTGTCCTGGATGATGTCAAATTTCTTGAGTGTTGTTGGGGCTGCACCCATCCAGGCAAGTGGGGAGTATTCCATCACACTCCTGACTTGTGTGTTGTAGATGGTGGACAGGCTTTGAGGAGTCAGGAGGGAGTTACCCCTCACAGTTTTCCTAGCTTCTGGCCTGCTCTTGTAGTCATTGAGTTTATTTGGTGAGTCCAGTTGAGTTTCTGGTCAATGATAACCTCCAGGATGTTAATGGTAAGTGATTCAATGACACTAGCACCATTGAATGTCAAGGGGCGGTGGTTAGATTTCCTCTTATTGGTGATGGTCATAGCCTGGCATTTGTGAGGCACAAATGTTGCTTGCCACTTGTCAGCCGAAGCTTGGATATTGTCCAGATCTTGTTGCATGTGAACATGGACTGCTTCAGTATCTGAGGAATTGTGAATGGCTCTGAACATTGTGCAATCATCGGTGAACATCCCCACTTCTGACCTTACAAAGGAGCGAAGGGCATTGATGAAGCAGCTGAAGATGGTTGGGCCTAAGACACTACCCTGAGGAACTCCTGCAGAGATGTCCTGGATCTGAGATGATTGACCTCCAACAATCATGGCCATCTTCCTATGTGCCAGGTATGACTCCAACCAGTGGAGAGTTTGCCCCCAGTACGATTCTAGTTTTGCCAGGGCTCCTTGATGCCACACTCAGTCAAATGCAGCTTTGATGCCAAGGACTGTCACTCTCGCCTCACCTCTGGAATTCAGGTCTTTTGTCCATCTAGCGACTAACTCAACTCCTGACACCCCAACGCTGTCCAAAACTTGGACACATATTGCCGTTCCTTCACTGTCGCTGGGTCAAAATCCTGGAATTCCCTCTCTAATAGCATTGTGGGTCAACCCACAGCTGGTGGACTGCAGCAGTTCAAGAAGGCAGCTCACCCCCACCTTCTCAAGGGCAACTAGGGATGGGCAAGAAGCGCTGGCCAGCCAGCGACGCATACGTCCCACAAATGAATAGAAATATACTGGAATATACTGGAATACTCCCTGTCATCCTGGATGAGTGCAGCTCCAAGAACACTAGAAGATGTTGATGGCCCACAGCACCCATGGATGCCCAGTCTTGAGTTGCTAGATCTGTTTAAGTGATTCTCACCACCCTTAACATTCACTCTCTTCGCTGCTGATACACAGTGGCTACAAGATACACTGCAGTAACTTGCCAAGGCTCCTCTGACAGCACCATCCAAACCCATGACATGTTCCACCTAGAAACATCACCACCTACAAGTTCCCCCCAAGCCCTGATTTGGAACTGTGTTGATGTTCCTTCAGTGTCACTGGGTCAAACCCCCAAAACCCCCTTTCTTGCAACACTGTTTCCTAAAAGCCAGAGATTGCAGCAGTTCAAGAATGCAGCTCACCACCACCCTTAAGGGAAGGGGCAATATTAGCCAGGCTCTCATCCCATCAATAAAGGAATTTTAATAAGTCAGAAAGTCAGCTAGGGGAGGCAATGGCCTAGTGGTATTATCACTGGACTGTTAATCCAGCGATATTCTGGGGACCTGGGTTCGAATCTTGCTACAGCAGATGGTCAAATTTGAATTCAATAAAATATCTGGCATTAAGAATCTAATAATGACCATGAATCCATTGTCAATTGTCAGGGGGAACAGCCCATCCAGTTCACTAATGTCGTTTAAGGAAGGAAACTGCCATCGTTACCTGGCCTGGTCTACATGTGACTCCAGACCCACAGCAATGTGGTTGACTCTGAACTACCCTCTGGGTCTTTAGGGATGAGCAATAAATGCTGCCTAGCCAGCAACGTCCTCATCCCATTAATGAATAAAGGAGGAGAAAAGTAAGCTTGATGTAGCAAATCCAACATAATTTTGAAGGGTGGAACAGACTGGGGGGCTGAATGTCCTAAACCTCGAACTACTCCAAACACTCTTACACTTTCATGATTACTTTGGCCCTTTGAGGCTGATTTGCATCTTATGTGGGTACATTCCACATCTATTCTGTTTGTTTTCCAATGCTGCAACAACTGAGCTCATTAAGAGAACAGAGCCTACACTGCTGTTCCGCTGATCAAACACTTTGATTCTATCACATTCGGCAGCTTTCCACTGAACACCATCACACCAGGGATGCTCTCTGAAACACTTGGCCCTCATGAAAATGCACTTCTGTTAATGATTTTCACTCCGTGCTGTTTACAGATTCCCGGGAATATTTTTCTGGCACCTGCCGAAGAGCAGTTAATTAGTTTCGTGAGCAAGGCCCTCAGCGTTAACTCTTTCACTGCCGGCTGGGTCTACCACCTATCCTGATGCTGCCTGTCAACTTCTGTCCTGACTCGGCACGACCCGTCCTCATAGGAAGGGAGCGCCCACCACAAGGTGCCAGAGTTGACAGAATAAAATTTTGGGGGTGGCAGAGAGGAGACAGACGTGTGAAAAATCGCAATAAGTAAATGTTAATAATCCATGGTGTAAAGTGAAAGTATTTAAATATGTTGGCCTCTAACGCCCACCACTCTCGCAGCTAATAATCTTGCAAGAAGCTGGAAAAGAATGAAGACAGCAGTTTTAATAGTCTCGAGAGCAAGTGGGAAACACCAGTTTTCAGAGTGTTAGCATTGGATCATTAAGTATTTATAATGATTTGACAGCGGCGCATATTTGTTCCTGAAAGCATCGAAGCTGCTGTCTCATTATGGGATACCACCTTCACCCTCACCAAACTCGTTTTTTTTTAACACGGCCAGTAAGACCATTCTGGATATTGCTGGTGAGATGGTTCCACAGTTGATAGAGAATCTATTTCCATCAGCTTAAATAAGCAAACCCTACTCCAGCCACCTCAGTTACCAACCCATTGAAGACCTCAGATATCAGTAGGCCCTCGCTCCCTCCTGCCCTAACAACATTAACAAAGAGGTAGAGGTGCCGGTGTTGGACTGGGGGTGGACAAAGTCAGAAGTCACATGACCCCAGGTTATCGTCCAACAGGCTTATTTGAAATCACAAGCTTTTGGAGCGCTGCCGTGTTGTCAGGTGAAGTCGCTACATCAGGTGAACCTGAACATCAGGACAGAGGTGAGGAGGGCCTCATATTTGACTGAACCAATAGGCAATTAGTTATGAACGTGCCTCCCACTCGTCAGGGAGATGTGTTCAAAGGGAGGTTCCTCTTATCTGTAAGGGAGATTGGAATAATGATCAACATCCTGGGGTTAAAATTGACCAAAAACCCAACTGGACTTGCCACATAAGCATAGTGGCTACAAGAACAGGTCAGAAGCTAGGAATAATGCAGTGAGTGACTCCTCAAAGCCTGTCCACTATCTACAAGGCACAAGTCAGGAATATAATGGAATATTCCCCACTTGCCTGGATAAGTGCAGCTCCAATAACACTCAAGAAGCCTGACACCATCCAGGACAAAGCAGTCTACTGGATTGGCACCACATCCACAAGTATCCAGTCCCTATCTACAAGAGCAACTGCAGAAATTCACCAAAGATCCTTCGATAGCATCTTTCAAACTGTCAGCTGTCTAGAAGTAAGGTAAAATCACCATTGTCTTATCAGAGAGATGACTGGTGATGTTTTAACCTGAGGGTCACCACACCCCAGGCAAGGGGAGAGGTTGAGGAGGAGGGATCACCATGGTAACCTTAGCTGGGGTTGGAATTGAACCCACAAGACTGCCATCTAGCGAACTGAGCTAACCAACAAGTACAAAAGCAGCAGATACATAGGAACACCACCACCTGCAGGTTCCCCTCTCAGCCGCTCACCATCCTGACTTGGAAATATATAGCTGTTCCTTCA